GTAGTTCCAGTAAACCGTGGTAAAATCCCTGTATTGCACGACCTACTGTCTTATTTCTTGAACAAATGTTCAAATACATGTTAAACATATTTATTCAACCGTCAGTTTATTAAAAAACAAAAGAAACTAGTTTTTGTTTGTGTTTTGTCAATTTTCAAACTTTTTATTTCTGTACAGTTTTATAATTTTTTATTTTAGTTGTAGTTTGTTATTTTAGTGCATGAGGTTAATAAGATGAATGTGCATCTGTCCTCCAGTAGTTTAGTGTGTGTAAGCGGGTGTTTTTCACCTGTGTGTCCTGCAGTCGGGCCGCGTCCTGTGCAGACGGATGGTGTGCGACTGCAACAATCCCACGCTGGATCTGTTTGTACCGGTGTGTGTGCGTCTGTGGTTCTTCAGGTTGCCGGCGGTGGTGAACTTCTTGCCACAGTTCTTCTCGTTGCAGATGAAGGGTTTCTCTCCGTTGTGAGTCCTCATGTGAACCTGCAGCCGCTGCAGCACATAGAAGCTCTTCCCACAACCCTCTGCGCCGCAGCGGAACGTACGGTCGTTCCTGAAACACACACACACACAGAGAGACACACACACTCACACACCACACACACACACACAAAAATGCATTTTTTGTTTGACCCCCCTCGTATCTTTCCTAACATCTTTAACTCAGTAATAATCAAAGAGCAGTAAATAAACTCAGCTTGATGGCTGGATCTCGCCGTGTCTCTCTGGAAACAGCTCTGCTCCTCCTCCAGCCGTATGCTCATCAAACGCTCGTGTCAGATCTGCATTCATCAGGGACGCTTGTGAAGAAGCACCTTGTTGTTGTGACCCCATCCTGCTCGCCTCTTTTCCCACAATCTCTACAGCAGCGCGGCTCTTCAGATGAGTGGTATGGAGGCCCAGGAGTGCCACTTAAAAATAAAAATGAAGAATCAGCTCATCAATTTAATCATTCAAACATAAAAATGTTGGAAACAGCTCTGCTCCTCCTCCAGCCGTATGCTCATCAAACGCTCGTGTCAGATCTGCATTCATCAGGGACGCTTGTGAAGAAGCACCTTGTTGTTGTGACCCCATCCTGCTCGCCTCTTTTCCCACAATTCACCTCTACAGCAGCGCGGCTCTTCAGATGAGTGGTATGGAGGACCAGGAGTGCCACTTAAAAATAAAAATGAAGAATCAGCTCATCAATTTAATCATTCAAACATAAAAATGTATATAAATAAATCACTTTTTAAATGGACAAATTAATAGATATATTTAAAGTTGTTTATTTAATTTGTGTTTTTAAATGTAGTTTAATAAAACAATA